TAGCGCATTAGGTTTATCTGGAATACTCTACAGCCAATAAACATTTTTCAGTAAGAAATTCGAATCAAACTAACACCTGCCTTTTTTAGTCTTTTAAGATTTTATAACACGAAACCATTTTAAAATCAACTGAAAATCAACTTATACAGAAAATAAATTTTAATAGAATTACAAAAATTTAAACCAAAAGTGATTCTAAAATAACAGATTAGAGAGAAAACACCTAGTCAACACCACCTGTCACTAACACTTGGACTACTCTTACCAACAGAAAAAAAAGTTAGTTTCATCTGAATTAGCTTACGTCATAGATAAATATCAATGTTTCACTCTTCTACCTTACATTATAATAACAATGTTTCACTGTTCTACCTTACATTATAATATCAATGTTCACTGTTCTACCTTACTTTATAATATCAATATTCACTCTTCTACCTTACATTATAATAACAGTGTTCACTCTTGTACCTTACATTATAATAACAATGTTCACTGTTCTACCTTACTTTATAATATCAATGTTCACTGTTCTACCTTACTTTATAATAACAATGTTCACTCTTGATAAAGTAAGGTACTTTATTGTCAAGTGTACACAGATAATCGTGGTATTGTATGACGTGAGTAATCTGTTTACCAAAAGAAAGTTTCTAGGTGATTTGCTACAGTACCTTGGGTTTAAAATCGTTCACCATCTAATATGTATTTAAGAAAGAATACCAATACACCCACTGTTAAGTCTCAATATAGCTTTCGTGTGATGAGCATAACACCTTATATAATTGTTACATTTCCTTTTAACATGCTCGCCCTTTCAACCATAGGGGGTGGGGGGTAATAATGGAATGGCGATTCTTACTATTCGTTAGTAAAAGAGAGTTGGTGGTGAGTGATGTTGACTAGTTGTCTTCCCTCTAATTTATAACTGTTAGAGTTGGTGGTGAGTGATGTTGACTAGTTGTCTTCCCTCTAATTTATAACTGTTAAATTAGGAAGCTATCGCAGGTAGCCCACTAGTAGCCTTGCCCGAAATTCAAAAGAAACAAAACCTTTTAACATGCATTAAGTATTAAGCTGATGGGACCTTCAATAGTAGATGTAAGTTTTAATTTTTAATTCCATCTTTAGAGTATAGAGATTCTCTAAATATAGATTTTGGTTTTTTCTTCCACACTGTTAGCTTTCTGCTGAGACAAGTCTTTAACTTCTACCTGGGCCCGGCATGGCCAGGTAGATAAGGCACTCGACTCGCAATCTGAGGGTC